GGTGGACAGCCTGAGGAGCAGACATAGCCAAAGATTAATGCAGCCCAGATGTGCTAAAGAACACTACAGCAAGTCCTTTCTGCCCAAGGCTACCACACTTTATAATTCATATATAGTCTCTATAGCTGTGCGTGTTAAATGTTGATAATATAATAAATGTACTGAGCAATATGTTCATTGTTATTTATTATTGTTGTTATTGTGTGCAATGCTGGGACAAACTAAATTTCCCCCCTTTAGGGGATCAATAAAGTATTATTATTACTATTGTTAACTGCAAACTGCAGACATGACCTGGTGGGTGGGGCTAACAGAGCAAAAGAGGACAGTGGCTGATTTTTAGACCTTTGCTGAGGAAGATAAGATCAGCTTCACATGTAAGCATGAGCCGATCACCGATCTCACAAAATTAAGGAAATCGCTGCCAATCTATCGGTGCAGCCCTGTTTTAGAACAAAGACTCCTTTGTTCTCCTCAAGTCAGGTTTTAGTTTTCATATGCCACTCATCAGAATCAAGGGTGTCGAACTCATTTTAATTTTGGGCCTAAAATCTGAATGTTCTTAAAGGGCCGGTTGTATATATTGATAAAACCCACCAAACTGTTAAAATATCAATAAATAGCTGTTTGTTTCACTATTCAATAAGCTTTTCATAAAATTAAATATATTGAACATCTTTTCACACTGGTCAGTCCATTCAGGATTTTGTGAATATTTCTGGGCCATATGATTTTTGTTTTTGTTATAAATATTTGTAAGGAATTTATATGATATTTGCGCTAATGTTCGATGCTAAATGTAACTTTTTATTATTTGCCATATCGGTCATGTATAGCTTGACATCAAGTCAGGCAGAGGCAGCAGTAACTTAAACCCAGTGTTTTTGGCCAATTTTAAGAAAAAATTGCCGTAAAAATCAGAAAAAATGTGGGGATCTGTGGATTTTGTATTAATTTTGCAGATTTGTGAAAAACTGGAGGGACTAACTGATGTGATTTGGAGTCTAAAGGTCCACATAAAAAGCTATGGTGGGCCAGATTTGGCCCCTGGGGCTTGAGTTTGACACATGTCCTAAATGAAGGACTTTTCATTCTGAAATATGTTCAGTTATTGAGCCTCACTATTTACAGCTTTAGCTTATTCTACTCCGGCTGATAATAACCTCCACCTCTACAGCTAACTAGAGATGTGAACCTTTCAGTGTCTAGTAATTGGATTCGATTCCTATATTTAGCATCACAATTCTATTCAGAGTTTTCATTTCAAAAACCAATTTTACCATATAAACGTTTTAGAGATTCTGTTTAAATTATGTGATTGGCAAGAGGAAAAGGATGCAGCCCTGTATGTAAACGTGGACACAACATTTTACACCTAACTGTGATATTCAGTGTACAACTGTCATTTTTGACTTCACCAAAGAAAGGTGCCGGTCCACGAACAGCGCCCCTTCCTGGACAAAGATGGACCTCAGCTAACATCTCCCACTCCAACACAGAGCCGAGCAGGGTGAGACCTGGTCCGAACCCCCAGCATCCCCTGCAGCTGTTAGCCAAGGTGGGGGTACTAATCACTCAAACCAGCTGCATGAAACACTGGCTGCAGAGCGGGAGCGGAGAATCCCAAATGAAATGTCCATTTGCACAGAGAATATTACAGAGTTCAGTAAAGTAACATCTGTGAGAAGGAGAGAAAGGAATGATCTGAGGGAGGACGTCGGGATAATGAAACTTACCCCACAAGGAGCAGGAAGCTCAGCGCGGACAGGAAGTAATTGCTTTGATAATACAAAAGGTTGTTGATCATGCGGTTGTTCCAGCGGTCCAGGTCCCGCACATCTGGCACCGCAAAACGAGCCGAGCTCATCAGAAAATCATCCAGGCTGCGGAGGGGAGGCGGCTGCACGCCTGCCATCTTTCCCAAACCAGAAATAAACTGGATTTCCCAGAATGCAGCACGGTGAAAATAAGAGGTGGGGGAGGCGCGTCTCCGTGCAACGGAAGTGAGCTTTTTCCTGACGTTTCATCATGTCTGCTTGATTGAACTCAGCATCAAAAATGACGAGGCTAAAGGAAAACATAAATATATCAGTAAATAAAAAGAAGCGTTTTTCGGAAGAACCAAGGGCTTTTTAACACTCTTATCAGCCTCATTGCGGGGTTAGGAAAGAATCCGTGCAAGCGTCAACAATAAATGCAGTTTATTTCTGAATATCGTTAGTCCATATTCAATGAGCTCAACCTGATTCACTCTAATACAACTTTATGCTACACTCATTAGCTCTGCTCCATAACATAGAATCCATCCAACACAAATAGCACTGTCTGAAAAAATAGCAGACTGTAAACGCCGACCTCGAGCAAGCACAGGGAGAAATTGAGGACTAAATATTTTCTTGTTCCTTTGAAGTATTCGATGTTTTTTTAAATAACTATTTGTGTTTACCCATAAAGTTATTTTAGTTACCTTACCTTGCCTTATCTTTTAAAAGGGAAAAAAAGGTAAAATTATGGGTGCGTTCACACTGCAGCCTGAAGTGACCCAATTCCGATTTTTTGGCAATTCCGATTTTTTGCCAGGCCGTTCACATTGCCAGTAAATGCGACCTGTATGTGTTCTGCAGTCTGAAAGGGCAAACGACCTGAAAGTGTCCCGCATGCGCACTAGAGGGCGCAATAGCGTCCGCGTTCTCCGTGTTTATGCAACTTCCATTAAAAGAAGAAGTGCTCAGTGTTTGCGGAAGTAAACATAGAGGCTAACGGTGGAGCTTAGCTTCCATATTTGAAGTTGTTGTCCGGCTGGAGCAGCATATTAACAACAACTCAATCCTCATATATTCCATCATGTTTGTTGTTTTTCTTCCGTATCAGGACGCAGAATAGTGAGATTTGTTGAGAATCAGTGATGTTCAGTTCAGATGAATGCGATCTGAACGTTAGGTCGCATTTGGTCACATTCGAAAAAGAATCCGACCTGTGCTGTTCACACTGCCATGAAAAGATCGGATACATGTTGCATTACGTCAAAAAAATCGGAATTGGGTCACTTCAGGCTGCAGTGTGTTATGTTAGGGTTTAAGTGAGGCTCACTCATTACAATCTGTTGTGGAAATGTGAGCATGTAAGATTCTACTCTAGATTTAACAGGGAGTTAATTAAGAGAAGCCAGGTTGAAGAAATATGATTTCTCTTCATTTAGCAGAACGTCTGCTGCACGTTATCAAATATGATGAAAGTTTTTAGAAAAATATTCTTAATATATGAAATTCATCATCATCACTTTATCAAAGACAGAAAATAGTTTTTGAAAATTGCATGAAAATAAAAGCTGTATGAATTGTTGTTTGTTGTTGTTTGTTTTGTTTTTGTTTTTGTTCAGGGTTGAACCCACACAGGTCACTGGTCCATCACAAGGCCATACAAAGATAGGGCAAACAATATGCACACATTCACTCCTAAGGGCAAATTTACCATTATGTTTTTGGACTGTGGGGAGGAAGCCAGAGTAGCTGGAAAGAATCCACAGCATACAAACCCCACGCAGGAAGACCCCAGGCTGGGATTTGAACCCAGGACCTCCTTTCTGTGAGGCAACAGTGTTAACAACTGCAGAATAGAATTGGCATTAAATCCATCCATCCATCCATCCATTCATCCATTTTTCTGTACACCCTTGTCCTTAGTGGGGTCAGGAGGGATGCCGGTGCATATCTCTAGCTAACGTTCCAGGCGAGAGGTGGGGTACACCCTGGACAGGTTGCCAGACCGTCACAGGGCAACACAGAGACAGACAGGACACACAACCATACACACACACACCCGCACCTAGGGAGAATTTGGAAAGACCAATTAACCTGACAGTCATGTTTCTGGACTGTGGGAGGAAGCCGGAGTACCCAGAGAGAACCCACGCATGCACAGGGAGAACATGCAAACTCCATGTAGAAAGACCCCAGGCCAGGAATCGAACCCAGGACCTCCTTTCTGTGAGGCAACAGTGTCAACAACTGCAGAATAGAATTGGCATTAAAAACTGGATTTCTAATTAATCTGAAATTAATTTAAATGAATTCTTTAAACACAATTATTGAAAAGAAAAAAATTACAAAATATATTTTAAAAGCGGATATACACAAATGAATGAAAATATATTCATTTAGGCTTTCTCACTGAAAAGCCAAAACAAAAAAAAACAAACAAAAAAAAAAAAATCAAGAGACGCACAGACTTTTATTATGAAAGGCCGGAAGAGAGGCGGAAGAGGCGTGGTCCTGGAACGTTCTCTGTTCTACTGGTGGTTATGTGCTCGTGGTTCCAGGTCGGGAGCGCGCGCTGTGTGACAGCTCAGGGCAGTCCACGTCAACACAGAGTGAGCACAGCGGCAGCGGTGGCAGCAGAGATGGACTCCACGTCCCTGGTGAGCTTCTTCGCTGTTAAATCATCTGCGTTAGTGGACACGGGCAGCAGCACTGCAGGCTGCAGTCAGTGTCCCGGGCATGTGTTGTATTAATCTGCTGGCTGTCGATGGTGGACATTACAGAAGACAGTCTTGAATAAACCAAGCGGGGGAGTGGACGAAGCTTGGTTGCATATTATCCATAAGATTTTATTTCTTCATCAGATCTCACACTATTCTTTTCAGCTCACGAAAGCCGTTTTGATCAAGGCTTTCTCCATAAAACCGCAGTGTCGTTCGATTTATTTTTAATCCTGTATTGGTTTAAAAATAGTATCCCTTGCTGGTTGAGAACTTCTCCGGGTGTTAACACCATTAGAATGGACTAGTTGATCCACAGCTGTTTTGTTTTATCTGAGCGCAACAGGACAGACAGTGGGTTGGCTGTCTCCACGGAGCACTTTTATAAATCAGTGGCTCCAGACACACACACACACACACACACACGCACAGCGCTGTGCATTTAATCTGGTAACTGTATTTCCAGCGGCTCTGCGTGTTTCAGTGCGTGTGTGGAGCCTGAATGTAGTGACGTGTATTCCAGGGTAGGTGCCACGTCCACCGTTCTGCCTCGCGCACCATTTCTTCAGCTTCACCCAGGTTTCTGGAGCTCATATGTCTGTCCTCTCATGAAGCTCCATTTACTGTTCAAACGCTCCGTCCTTCAGAGTGCCGAACTGCATTATGTGGAAGAGTTGGTAAGAAAAGTTCAACCCCAGGAAAAATTCTATGAAATCGAATTTTTATTCCTCACGCAACGTTTCCCGTTTAATGTTAATCAAAGCTATAGACCATAAGTCGCAAACCACTGTAGCTGCTTAATATGATAGAAAACCAACATTAAGTCAGATTTCTGCCCAATGCAACTCTTCAGGCTTTCCAGTGGCTTCTCACAACTTCGGCTAAAACCTATACTAGTATTTCAAATAAATAAATAAACCTGCAGGTGTAATTTCAATGTTTTTTACCCGTATTTGCCTAAATTTCTTCAACGAAATGGCAGCGCTGTAAAAAGCCATTTTTTTGTGTGTGTTTACATTTTTTGCCTTTAAGCTGCAAACTACACGCATATACAGCTAATCTTTCAAACTTATGTTCGGTCAATTATTTATTTGTGGTACGTTTGTAAAATTACAGTAACAAATTAAGAGCAACAATTTGGTTATCTAGTCTGTCATAAGAGAAAAAATAATTTTCCACAAAATAAAATGAATTTAACAGTTTCAAACTGAATATTTAATTATATAGCTAGGTATTTAGTTTGAAATATTTAGCTTGAAACTAAATATTAGGCTCAAAACTAAATATTAGCTCAGGGCGAAATATACATTTGCAAATTCACCTGCCGATAACCGGAAATAGACTGTCAAAATAAAAAGGTGGGTCGTCTCTGTAACCTCTATACTCATGATGGTAAGCTGGTGTTGTTGCTGTAGATCTGTTGTAATGTTTTTATGGCCTTTAAAAGGCCTGGTCCTGCTTAAGCTGAAAAATTTTACATGTCGAGAGGAGAAGGATCACTGATGAAGTGATGACATGAGAAACGTGTCTGTTTGCAAATCCTAGCTTTTATTTTGGTAGTCCACTTACGCTTATCGACAAATATATTTGCATATCAGTATTTTGGGGAATAGCTTGGTTTGTACAAGAAGTTGTAGAATCGCAACTCTACACTGAAATTATCGGCAGAGAGAATTTAGCAAGGCTTTCATCCCACATGCTCAAATCTGCAGCCTTAAACATAAATGTATTTCCTTACAATAATAATAACCAACAATAACCAGACTTTCCAACAGTATAAGATGTATTGGAAATTCAATTCAAATTCAAAAATACTTTATGGTGTTGACTGTACCTTCAGCATATCATCACATCAAAGAGACAGTTTCAAGGCTTTAAATTGTGAAGTCAAGTCATGTTTATATGTAAAACATGTTTATAACAGAAGGTTACATAGTGACTTGATTATGCTGCAAAATGCCACCATATGTGGCTGTCAAGTTCTTTTTTTAAACTGTGCAACTTCCCCACTTGAAAAGGGATGGATGACCCCATGCAGACTCTTAATGACAGGGATTTTTCTCGAAGGACCAAACAGTTTTTCTTGCTTTTACTTCCATTTATTTCAGTGTATGGACATGTTCACCATTGATCCAGAGGATGCAGGTAAAAACCTTTAAACAAACCCAAACAAAATAATTACTAATCTGTGTAAATTAATTTCACTCAATTGCAAAGGAAATGGCAAATTATATAGATAATACCAAGCAACATATAAAATAATCAAAATTAAATACACAAGTAACTAAACTTATGTTAACTTTAAACTTAACTTTAAAGTGCATTTAAGTTAATATTTATATTTACATTTCATACATTTCTTAACATACAAACATCTGCTTCTCAACATTAATAATAAATATTTATTGTAAATTTAGCTTTAATTTATTCTTTGAAATTGATGGTAAATTAATTAACAATTGAACTTGGTACCCAAATCCATTTCATCAATACAATAATCAATTCAATCATAAAAGTCTATCAATCAATGATAGGCAAGCGTCACCGCTGCAATCCATCAGTTCAGTTCAGCTGTCACAATTAGGTGCTAATGATCCGATCGACCAAACTGGAATGTAGGAATGTAGACAACTTTGCGGTCCGATCTCATCACAATACAGCTTATGTCTTACCGGCTGCCTCTCTGCTCATCTACAAGATCATCCAGTTTTACACAGGTTGACTAGGATCTGTGATTTAAAAAGTCCGCAAACTCCTGTCCTCTTTGTTTGGCGGCTTTCTCTTCCGTCATCTCTTTTTCCTTGTCCGTCCCTCTTTTAGGTCCGTGTGGAAGCGCATGACCTTTTGTTTTTTTTTTTGTTGTTGTTTTTTTCTGATTTGACTTCACAGAGGCTGAAAAACACATAATAATGTCCTTTTAATTAATGCATACGTGTGTTTGTTCGTGATCCCCTGAAGTCACCGTATTCATTTTCTGGAATGAATGAATCTGATTCTTACATTCACACACACACACTCAAATAAAGCCGTGGCGACTGTATCGAGTCACTGACTTTGCAGCAGTCCCTCATTCTGAACAAGCACATGGAGACAGTGGAAAGGAATGATCCCATTTTTGCTGGGTGTGTCCCTACTTCAACTCCCTGGATTGAATCTGCTCAGGTGTGTGGACACAGGTTCATTTGGGTCAGTTGTGATGGCGCTGGGGCTCATCAGTTAGTCTTGTGAATCACATCTGTGACTGAAAATACAATCGCTTTCAGATTCTGTTGTGTGCACTCCATTATTCTCCCAACATTCCACTCTATTTCCACAGAAAGTATCAGATTGTATTTCCTTACAGTACTTTCTCTGAGTACTCATGTCCCAACTGCAACATCCCAGTGTGCTCTTCTTACTATGTTGCTGTTGGTCTGTAATTTGTTTGTGGTCACCACTGATTTGAGTAAAGCTCCAACAGGTGCTGCTGCTGGAAGTCATCTAACTTCTGCCCTCTCCCAGTTCTGGTTCTATCTCTTCAGACTGAACTCTTTGTTTTAGCATAAACCTCACTACCACAGCCTGGCATCAGATTAATAGTGACACAGAATTTTAAAATTAAATAATGTTTTAATTACCAAAAAGACACTGTAAGGTGAATTTCTTGGAATGCATAAATGCTAAGTGGTTGGCTAAGTGGTTGGAAACTTCAGCAGAATGGTTTTTATTGCCAGGCCTGATTGTTAAAAGAAAAAGTTCAGATCATATTGGTCATACTATATTAATGTTAGCAGTATGTTGATAATTAGTGTTTATATGTCACTCTGTTTTGTCAAACGTCTCTTTGGAGTTTTTGTTATGAAATAAATCTCCTCTGGAGGCCGACGTAAGCAACAGAAAAGATTTGCTTTTGACTCCTTGCTGCTACGATTCAGAAGCATTTTAAAGGTAAAGAAAAGCTTCAGTGTCTTATGGAAGATAACAGCCTTCCCCACGTAAAGGAGAAACTGCTCCTTCAGCTGCTGAGGATGAAGCCAGCTGACTGAGTGAGGACACACAGAGTGTTGCATGTTGCTTGCTGGATGTTGGATTCCAGAGTGGGTTATTGTTACTTGTTAACATGGTCACAATTTTCTTCTTTTTTTTTTTTTTGCTTTTCTGTAGCACTTAAATGTTTTACATCTTCAAACTAATTTTATGTTGGATAAAAATAACCAGAGTAAATTCAAAAAGCAGTTTTCAGTCATGATTTCATTCATTAAGAGAAATAGCTGTGCAAGCCAACCTGACAAAGGGTTGGTACAAGCAAACCCTTTGTTAGGGTCAAGCCAACCTGACAAAGGGTCACATGTTTACTGTGATTAAACTCCATTTTTGAGAAAGCCAGGCTCATTTCCAAATCCCCAGGTTCTATTACTACCTCACTGATAGCTCATTTGAAGTAGAACCTCTCTAATGGCTAAAGTAGGGAAACAAGTCAGTGACATCTGTTAGTGTGGAGAGTATTACACAGTCTTTTCTAAGACTTTTGGAGAACCATTTTAGAGCTGTTATTCACAATGGGAGAAAACATGCAGCAGCCGTGAACCTTCCAGACAGTCTGGCCAAACGGAGTTACTCCAAGAACCCGTCAACGATTCAACCAGCAGGTTGGACAACAAGCCAGAGCAACATCTATGCTCTGCACACCTCACTTGCTTCAGTTAATGCTAGAGTTTATGATTCAAGAAAAAAAAGGAAATTGTAAATGAGTATTCCAGTTGAACACCTTGAACATGGCCTTAAGAGGAAGTGTTTTCCTTCTGAACTCGGCTCATTTAAACTCACTTTGGATGGAGAGTCACCCAGCATGGTTGTTCTCTGCTGTGCAGTTCAGATGTAAGAAGCACAGCAGCATTTGAACGATTCAGTGTTTAGTTGATGATGCTGCTCAAGGTTCAGTACAACTAGAAGAGGGACACTTTCACAATGTCTACACCTTGTAAAATCCTGTCTGCTTGATTCCTTCTGCTCTGTCTGCACGCACACATCTGTAAATGCCATAAGACTGTTCTTTCCATAATCATGCATCTTTTTTTCTTTTTTAGCATTTGCTGTGACTTTTAGGGAAAGAAATGGATCCTCTTTCTTGCCGTCATTCCACTCTTGTTTTACTATCAATGTCAGAACATCCCACCTATTCCAAGTTGTAAATGTAACTTCATTTTGGGTCACTCAACACCTTTTACTAATATATGTCAGATTTAGTGCTTTTCTAATGTGAGCCCCTGAACGGAGGTTAGGCTCAATGGATCCATCATCTCTCTCTGCTGCTTTGACACTGTGGCTGCGTTTCTGGTCTAAGTTCTGTGATACACTCTGACTGTGAATCTCTGCTGGTCAGTGCATAACAGAACTTTGTCCCGTTCCTGAAGACTCTTCAGTAGGACAGCCCTGTGAATGATTTATTATGTAATGTCACTTTTCCTCGACCAGAAACAGATAAAAAAACAGAGTTTGAAGCTCAAGCTGGAATGACTCCAACTGCATTAAGAACCTAAATGTGGTGGCTTCACCAGGGGAGAGAAGAGACGACAGATGTATGTCAGTAGCGTTGCCCTGTAGATGAATAACAGACAGTTCAGAGCCGAGTATTAACTTCATCCATATGGATAACAGAGGCAGAACCTGAGACATGAGAGGAGGCTGATGGCTGTGGATGCTCTGAGAACCAGCTAACTGGCAGCCAGGGAATAAAAATCTGTTTAATCTCTAATAAAAAAGACAAGAGTTACCTGGATAGTAACGGTCTAATTTACAACACAGCCAGGTGTGAAATAAACGTAGCTGGAGAGGTAACATTATGTAGCATCAGGAAAACTGAGCATCTCTTAAATTAAACCTCTTCTTGTATGTTGTTACAGGAACCTTCTCTCTATACAGTGAAAGCTGTTTTTATTCTTGATAATGATGGCAACAGACTTCTGTCCAAGGTAAGGGTTAAAGTATTTCATTAGATTTTATTTTACTTAGTAAAAAATATTTCTTTAACATGTAAATATTGTTAGTTTATCCATTCACAACCATTCCATCCCCAAAAGATTAAAAAAAAAACACTTTGAGCTGGCTGATAAAGATGCCTATGTCTGATAATGGGGTGTGGAATGAACACTGAGCTGATTTTCTGATCTATCAGAGTTTGAGCGCTGGAAAAACCCAAAACCTGCAGATGGAAGCAGGACTGGGTGAATGTGGTCCTGCTATCGAGCAGTTTTTCAACTACTCAACAGCAGTTGAAAAACTGAGTAGTTATTGTTTTTCTAATGAAAAGTTGTGACCCAGTGCTTGATTCATTTTCAGCACTATAAAATTTTCAACAATTTTAGATCAATATATTTTCATATTTGGTGTTTCCAATATTATTTAATGCACTTTAAATAGTCCTCATTTTCCACCCAAATGTCACTTTAATTACTATAGCATATACATTCATTATATTATAAAACTGCCATTTCATAAAACGGCACTAACATGCTTTTGATTATCATAATTATAGATGAATTGTAAAAATGAAGTAGAAAAAATTTTCAACTTTTAATAGAAATCAGAACTTAGAAGTTAAGTTGTTGATTTAAAAAGAAAGAGAAAAGAGAGAGAGGAAAAAAATTAAACCTTTTTGGTCTGACCCAAACAAGTGGCTGCTGTTGAAGAGCTGTACAGCCATAATTGATCAACAACATGGCTGCTATGTTCCTTACCTGCAGTGAAATAAAAAAAAAGACTCCACTGAGCTCTGATTCATACTGAATAGTTATAACTTTGATGGGGATCTCATATTGTAAATCACTAATAAATTTTATTGTCAAAATAGAGTTATTGAAAAGCTAACAATTGATTGTTACAATCAATTATTGACTAATTGATTGGTTTGGTGCCAACACCATTTTATCCTGTGATGTGTGTCTCTCTGATGTAGTACTACGACACCGAGCTCTACCCCACCATGAAAGAGCAGAAGAACTTTGAGAACAACGTCTTCAGCAAAACACACAAAGCAGACAGTAAGCTTCTTTATTTTTTGCATCTTCCGTTGTAACCTAACACCTCACACCTTCATAGCCTTAAGTCCTGCTTCACACACATCTCCAGTGTCGGCTGTCAAGTGTTCTGCTGCTGGTAGCCTGAAGCAGCTTGCTGGTACCTGCCATGAGGCTGGTACCTGCCAGCTGGACCGTGTTTGTGACTCTGAGCTGTTGAATGACCCCTAGGAAGCAAAGCTGTTTGGCTTTGTGAGTGTTTAAGCAGGTTGAGTAGATGTTCAGAGAAACCTGATCTCCCCCTGCAGTGGGTTTTAGAGAATTCACAGCGTTGTTACCTGATCTCCACTCGCTCCCTGTCCCCCACCCAGCATGCCACCCTTTGTTCCAAACTCCTCCTCCTGTCCTCCTTTCTGCATGCCTGTTTTCATCTTTACCTCCTGCTCTCTCCTCCTTTCTGTAGGTCCACCCATTAATTAATTCCTTTTCCCCTGGTTTCTCTGCTGCTTTCATTTCATTCTCCTATCACGTCTCCTTCCTTGTATCAATGTTTTGATTTAAAGAATAAGTCCTGAATTACGCTGACTCATCACTTTCTGTGTATTTGTAGATGAGATAGCGTTCCTGGAGGGGATGACCATTGTGTATAAGAGCAGTATAGATCTTTTTTTCTACGTGGTGGGAAGTGCTCAGGAAAATGAGGTACCGTGATTTTAGCTTTTATAGGAATATGCTATATAACTGTCTTTTTTAAATCCTTCTTTTTCCTGGGTGTAATGATTGGACAAATTACAACATCAATGATTTCTAATGAGAATAAAAGAGTGCATAAGTGTTAAAATTCTACCTACATGCTCAGATATATTTAGAAATTCACCAAGATTTTAGGTCATTCTTCCCTTAATAGTAAAATCTACAACATCTTTAATCTTTAAAATTTCTGTTAACACCTGGTTAGAGATCACAAGAAAAGGTAGGTGATATTTTTTTCTTCACCAGAATGTAAAAGATACGTTTGACATCACTGATTAGATGGACTGATACTCAGAACCACTGGAAAATCCAAAGAACTCTGTGAAGATCTGAGAACTGTAGATGTACACAAGCTTGAAGTCTTGTGAAAATATTTCTTCATTTCTACAGATTCCAAAATCTTTGTTTCAAACAACCAAACATAGGTTATTCATTTAAGCTATTTGGACAAGTCATCACTTTGCCAAGGTCTGGCAGAAGGACACTGAACTGTATGAACATTTTTGAGCTTGTAGAACAAGATTAATTTTAATCATTGCCCATTAATATTTACAGTTTACTTCTTTGGAAAAAAAAAATCATATTTATTGCTTTATTATTTCTCTCTAGAAACAACAATTCAAATAAATCACCAAAAGGCATAAAAGAGTGCCATGATGAGCAGAACTGTCAGAACACAAGATGAGACGATGATTTTTGGGATTTTCTCTTGCTACATTTTAGCCTTTGGGGCTTTTGAAAGAAAATAGCTTTGAGTGAAAATCAATGACTAGTATTTTATTTAATATTTTTCTTTTCTGTTGGTAGCTGATGCTGATGTCCGTGTTGAACTGTCTGTTTGACTCCATCAGTCACATCCTGAGGTAATTTTTTTTTTATTTTTCTCAAATTCTTTTTAAAAATTAGGACAAGTTTAGTATATAAATGATGTCAGTCAGCAGAAACAAACCTTTCTTAGCTGTCTCTCTGAAAAGGATTCTACCAAAGCTACTCTCAAAGGAAAAAGATTTGTGTTTATATATATATAAACAGAGCTGGATTCTTGATGCATTAAATATAGATAATTTCTAATTAGTATACAAGAATGTTTGTAAATAAATAAACCAACAAAAGCTAGCAGTGAGTGCAGAAAGTGTGCTGAACTGACCCGGCAAAAAACAGTTGTTATTTGTGGTGGACTTTATCGATTTCTGCTGTTTTATTGTTCCTCTTTCACTTTTTTGCTATTTCTTGTTCAGTGACCTTGAGTGACTTGAAAGGTGCTTTCAAATAAAATATCTATCCATCCATTTTTTGTACACCCTTGTCCCTGGTGGGGTTGGGAGGGTTGCTGGTGCCTATCTCCAGCTAACGTTACGGGTGAGAGGCGGGGTCACCCTGGACAAGTTGCCAGTCTGTCGCAGGGCAACACAGAGACAGACAGGACAATGCACACACACTCACACCTAGGGAGAATTTAAAGAGACCAATTAACTTGACAGTCATGTTTTTAGACTGTGGGAGGAAGCCAGAGTACCAGGAGAGAACCCACACATGCACAGGGAGAACATGGAAACTCCATGCAGAAATACCCCGGGCCAGGAATCGAACCCAGAACCTTCTTGCTGCAAGGCAACAGCTCTACCAACTGTGCCACTGTGCAGCCCTCAAATAAAATGTATTATTATTTATTATTTGCTTTATGTATTTACTCCTGGGTCATATGTGTACTATGCATTAATACCTGAAAGATGAACAGACATTTGCAGCAACAGCAATGTTATTATTATTCAATTCAAATAACTTTATTTGTTCCTGAGGGGCCATTTTAAGGCACACGAGTTGTACAATTAGACTAAAAAGTGATAGCTCAGACAATAGAATTTATAAAATATAATATAACAGCAACATCCTTGAACAGTATTCATGTCTTGGTCGTCTCTTCTGTGGTCTTAGTGTTTACTCAGTCGGTGTTTCGGTAGTCTTCATTACAAACTAGCAAGCATCAAGTACTGCATGTGTCTAACAGTTGCTTCTGTGCTGCAGAAAGAACGTGGAGCGGAGGTGTTTACTGGACAACATGGAGGGAGTCTTCCTCGTCGTGGACGAGATCATTGATGGGGGGTAAGGAAATGTTCACTCAACCGTCACTTTAGCTTTTGAGAAAGTCTTGATAGTAGTTAGATGTTGTTTCTCAAAACTTTCTATTCCTATTAGCTTTATTCTGTTGAATAATGAACAGTCATTCTGTTTGGCTCCAGCCCTCTCCTGATTGGTTGTTTATCTTCTGTTGCCAGGGTGATTTTGGAGAGTGATTCTCAACAGGTCTTACAGAAGGTCAACTACAGGGTACGAAAGCTATAAGTCATTGTAATTTACAATCATATTCATTTCAGTGTTTTTCACTATTAGGTGATCAAATGGAACACGAAGCACATTAACAGTCTAAAATCCCAGTAGCTGTTTAAGCTTGTTTTAAAGAACTTTTCTATGATTGGCTAAAGTTTGCTACAATGTTTTTGGTGGCATCTTTCTTCACCTTTGTGTCTCTCCTTCTCCCTCTCTCTCCTGTTGTGATTGGTGTCAGCTTATGTCTGAGCCAGCCTATGGCTTCGTCCTGTTTGATTACATCACCGGTAACCTAGAGGCACAGACAGACAGGAGCCAGCTGCTGTAGACAGACAGACAGACCCGGGGTGAGAGAGACTGACGGACTGAGAGTGAGAGGAAGACAGTTGGGGGATGGAGGGGCTTTAGTAATAACAAGATTCTGTGAATGCATGTTGATGGCATGCAGACTGACCCTCTGATTGACCTTGGTCAAAGATTTTAAGTTTTGTTAATTAATAACAGTCAACCATCCATCTAATAATGATGCTTCTGGACTGACTGACTGAATGGGAGAGAGAGTTTCTTACCCCACAGGCAAACCATTAATATGCTAAAAACTAGACTAAAATGTTACTGGTTTCCAGTATGGGAAACTGCTGTCAAGTAGTTGTGTTTCCATTAACCATATAATTGTGCAAATTGAAATTACAAAAAATAGGTATTTTTAAAATAGGTATTTTTAAAAAAGAATCACATTTTTCTATTAAAAAGTTGTTGTCAACATTTCAACATTAATATATGTATTAATATATTAATATAGACAAACATTTGTACACATTTGTAATGGAAACGCAGCTACACATGGAATGGTGTGCTGCTTTGTGTCGGCGCTGTGTGCCTGAAGAGTTACTTCTGCACTTTCCTTCATTGACTTGTGAATGTTTTCTTTTCCAGGCTGATGACAACCCATTAACTGAACAAAGTGTGGCTCAGGTAACTCATACCGGCCGTCAGGCAGCATCACTACAGCTCCACCTCAGATCAGACAATATAAAAGAGAATTTAATATCTGATATTGTTTCACATTGTTATTGTATCACACATGCAGTAGGTGTCAATGTAACTGTGCCCATCCCCAGCAGCCATTAGGTGAGAGTTTGGGTATCATCATGAACAGGTCCACTACTTCTCAGAGACACACAGGATAAATAACCTTCCACACACACTCATTATAAAAGATCAGTTTAAGCTACAATTTAATGCGACACCTACTAAGCAGTGGACTCCAAACTCTTCCCAGACAAACAGACAGACAGACAGACAGACAGACAGACAGACAGAGCAACTGTTGTCACATTGACTCCCAGTATTATTTTATGCAGAGTAAAGCAGCAAAAATGGCAAATATTCTACAAAATAATAAATTTTATTTGAAAATCTCTACTAAATATAGGAATGTTTATTAAACTTTTGCTTAAATCCATACCAAAATAATAAATACATGGTATGGAGGACAGTACTATAACTTCAATGATCTATAAATAAGTTATGATGGTTTAGCACTATGGATTATTGCTGCTGCTCTGTTTCATGTTGAAGCACCTTGATTATGTTAAGCATTTCTCTTGTAAAATTCTTACGTAAATATTTGAAGATCTTTTTGTTTTTCATATCATCTCACTGGAGTCTCTTTCCTTCACATGACTACCACTCACTGACTTTGGTTAAACTCTAAAACAGACCAGAGGTTTGAAGGATTTCTCATTCTGTTTATTTTGAGGAAATTTCAATCACTGATTTGAGGACAGAAAGTCCACTTTTTTACTGATAGAATAAAGAAACTGAGACGATTCTGCCTTAGCCACAGCATACACTGATGACAATTCAGTAATGGACTCCAGAAATGTACCAATAATCTTTGAAAACCTGAGTCTCACCAAACTATCATAACATCTGCCTCATTTTACACTGTCATGACATAGTGACAGTTTTAACAAATATACAAAAAGCACATTTTTATAAAAGTTACCTATTGCAACTCTAAGAAGATTAATTACTCCCTAGTATAACATTTACTGTATTTATGAGCAAGTTCTATATTTAGGTTACCATTAAACTCTTCTTTGACGTTTCAACATATACACAGACTAGCAACCTCACATCTAGTCAGAGAAATGCTGCCCTTATAAAATATTTTTCTTTGATGCCATCAACAGCATGAAACACAACCAGATTCATCAGTCATGATGAATCACAATGAAATCTTGTGTCTTTGTGTTTCTTGCTCCAACAGACAGCACATTCCCTTAACATCATGCTAATTCTTTAACAGCACAAGCAGGCTCCACTGTGATGTTATAGAAGAATATTTTCTGTTTTTGCTTAATAACTGCAGCTCTTGAAAAACTAATATTCTCTCCTGATTTCTTATGTTTAAAACCACTTTAGCACGACGTTTGTTTTTACTTGTGATGGTCTGTGTATTTCTACAATGTGTGTACTTGCTTTCTAAGTTTCTGTTTCCTGCTTTAACCTTAACAGCACCTAACAGAGAAGTTGGCACTGACCACTAACGTAAGTGTGATGTCTTTACACCAGCCCAGTGTTTGCCCAGTGTCACTGCTCTGTTTCAGTCAGAGCTCCAGGCTTGGGCGCTCCTTAGCAACCCTATAAATATTTCACTAAGCTTAATATTTGGCATCTTTCTCTTTGGTTTTTCAAGTGGTTTCAAACTCCAACCTTCATATACAGTGGCTCTAAAAAACCTACACCTTGTTAAAATGCCACTCTGTGATTTAATAACACACACACACACACACACACACACACACACACACACACACACACACACACACACACACACACACACACACACACACACAATAAACCATTTCAGAACCTAATGTGTTATTTCTATGCAGTTTAGTAGAAAAGTAAATCAGTCTGTTAGAGGAACAAAACATGGGAATACTCTTCATGTTAAAACTTTGTTGAAGCACCTTGTGATTTAATTTCAGCATCCAGTCTTCTATGGCTTGACAATATTTCCTATTCTACCTTGTAAAGGTTATCCTGTTCTACTTGATGCTGAGGAAATCAGCTCTATGCAGCTTTCTGCAGGTCACTCTGTAGACCTTCTGCTGAATTTAATTCTGCAAGGTCCAAAACGTGCTTTTCTCCTGGGAAGTATTCTTTTGTTGTTTGAGATTTATCACTGATTGTGATGCTGGAAAAAAAGATCCTTTTATCTTAAGCTGTTGAACAGACAGGTCTTGGGCCAAAACTGACTGATATTTGGTCTGTTACAGGCCGCTGGTCTGTTCCTCACACCCAGGGGCGCCATATAGGGGGGAAAAGTGATGACAATTCTAGGGGCCCTGACCAACAGGGGGCCCTCCACAATTTATTTTTTATTTATTGTTCATAGACATTAAAAAAAAAAATCGGGGCCCTGTCAATTACAAAATTAATCATATTGTATATTTGAAGATTGTTTTTAGCAGTAAAAATTTAATGTTCCCACTCCCAGACCAAAAACACACATTGATATTTGCCCTGAACCCCCCTGGATCTGCATGAAATGGTTCGTTCCTGCTTGGAGGCTTCACCTTGATGCTGTTCAGCTGCAGACAGTGGAAGGCACGAACGACTGTGGCAGTTAATATGCTGCTAAGAAAAGTTATAAAGTCAAGTTTTCAATAAAAAAACAACAAAAAAAGAAAAATAGAGAGAGGGAGAGAGAGAAAAAGGCAAGAGTGTCAATATAACCCAGTTTTTCTCTGAGAGGTGAGTAGACTGTGTGAGATTATCAACCATTTAGCATAGTTAGCTTAGCTACAGACTACTGATTACCTCCATTTCACTAGCATTTAATGAATTAAGGAAAAAAATGACAAAGATATTCATATATTGAACTTGTCCCTTGTACCTTTTATCGCTTAATAACAGATGAGTCACGCAGCAGCTCTAACCCTACATCCCTCCTGACCTGCCCTCTCCTAAGTGAAATTAAAGCTGCAGTATGTAACTTTTATAAAAAAATATTTTTTGTCCACATATTTGTTAAAACTGTCACTATGTTGTGACAGTATGGTATGAGAGATAATTTGTGAAAAATCTATTTCTTCTGCTTTCTCCCAATGCTAGAAACAACCACCAGTCAGTGGCAGGAGAGTTTTACTGCTGTCAATCACAATCTCATGTGGCTGATCAGCTTTCCTCTGCCTCGCTGTGTGCTATTCTGCAGCTAGCATAGCCTGTTGTAAATGCTTTGTCTAGTAAGCAAAGCTACCAGTGATGGCAGATAAACGATTTTCCTGTAACAGTAAGTTGTTTCTCCACCATTAGCACATTTAGCAGTGAGTGAATGAGACTGATTGTCAGTGCTAAGAGCGTCCTACTGGTTCTGATTGGTTGTTTTGGTCAGAACGGTGCATTACCTTAGCCAGCAATAGTAGTTCAGGGAGGAGGTGGAGGAGATTGATTGTTGTCACAGATTATCTGTGTCATAAACTGGCATGACATGGTGCCAGCTTTAACAAATATGGAGAAAGCATATTTTTTTATTAAAGTTAAAATGCAATGTCGTTGAATAAAATGCAACTACATTGCATTTTTTGAGAAGTCTGGATTGCTTCATGTATATTTTGCATCTTGCCTATGACTGTTGCTCATGGGGAGACATTTCAGTAATTTAAAACTAATAGCAAAATTTTAAGCAACCTACTTGCATACTGTATGCGGACTGTATGCATTTTACTCTTACATGTAAAATTCATGAGGGGAAATATTGTACTAGTTATCAACACTGGACCAAAGAAAGCAAGGCAGTTGCAAGCCTTTGAAATTGTGACGCTTTTGATGGGTCAGATAGACTCAAAAAGATTGTAACAGCAGCTGCGTGGGGGGAGGCCCAATTTAATTTTATTTTTTCAGGGGGGCCAAGATTCCTGGCAGCGCCGCTGCTCACACCTTACCTATGCATAAACACACAGGTCTGACTGTGTTTCACTGCTTGTTGCCTTTTAGTGTTAACACTTTGCGCCCCCTGCTGGCAAAGCATAGAACAACATTTCCACTACTGATTGTCTATGCAAAGATTGTTTAAATATTTACTGCAGTTAAATGGAAGAATGAGTATTGCAGTTATTTAGTTAGCAGCCCGTGCCACCGTGTGATTGGATGCTTGGTGTTTTGGATCTTGCTGATTTCCTCCTGTAATCACGTCTCTGCCTCAGAATGCCTCCGCTCAGCTGAAGATGGGAAAAAGTGTTAAGCAGAAATGCCAGAAATGATTGTACTCTAAATCCAATACCTCTTCGTGTTTGTTCTGATATGAAGGCATGGACACCACAGAAGTCCCAAACAGTTTGCCTGACCTCTTATGGTGAAATTGTGGTACTGCATCACTGAGTCTCATTTTAATCATCTCCCTTTATGTTCTTCTTTTTAGGTTTTGCAGTCAGCTAAGGAGCAGATAAAATGGTCCATACTAAAATGACCTGGGAAGAAAAAAAGACAAAATGTCTGATCTGTCAAAAAAAATAATATTTTCTGTCTCTAAGCTATTTTTGTAGGTCCATTTGGACAGCCCATCAGCTGGCCTATCAGGAGCCAGGAAAGCATTTCTTCTGGTCTGTCTGTATGATGGCAGTTTGTTACTTTTTCTGTGAAGTGTATTTAATGCTTTACTTTATTGTATTCTGTTTTTACAAGTAATGGTAGTAATGGAGACATCCACATGGTTTGTAGCAAGCCAAATGGTGCTGTCGTTTATAAAGGGACAAAAAGGAACAGAACCGGCGCCTGGCAGTTCAGCATAAGGATTCCAAACAGTAAAGACAAAATATTAATTTGAATTTTCAGTTACAAACCAAATAATATTACATATGCAGTGGGGGTTTTTTTTATGTTTTATTTGTTTTACCCACTGTCACATAAGCATGTCCGCTGTAAATTGTTTTAGAGTCAGTATATTTTCTTTCTATGGATAACCAGAAATACTGGGGATTAATAAACACAATGGCAACACACACATTCTGAATTGTCCTTCAACGTTGTTTTGTTTGAACATATTTAAAAACTACAACACTGAACTGTCCCAGATGAGTTTGGACTGTAGTGAGCATTGTTCCAGTAGCCTCTTTCAACAGGAGCGACTTTTCATAAAAACACAAAACACAATTTATGAAGGATTCTTTACTATAACATTTAATAACTCTAAGTCTGCTGATAGGCTGCTTAGGAGTCAACACAGATGCACTGAATAAAAGATGCAAAACTGAAATGTCTCTTTTTTTGATTGGTGTTTAAATAAATTTTTGATGTGAAGATGTAAATAAGGAAGGTATGTGTACAAAGAATATGTTTTACTTTTACAGTGAGAACTGAAGATGTTCATAGATACTAAATATTTTCAAAGCTGGAAGTGGAAAAATGCCACACTTGTTTTGGGGAGGATGTTACGGAAACAAACTGATTTCATCTGCTGTTGGTGACACTAATAAACATGATTATACTGGTTTTAATCTCCTCACTTTCTCTTTTGATTATTACCTATTATTATGGGGGCTTTTTTAGGACAGTTTGGGGAAACTTCAGGAAATCTGGGGGGAAAAAAACAAACTCAAGAGGAGAACATGTGATACCTCTCAGCCAATCAAATTCCAAATCTTGTGAAACGATATGAATAGTTATGAGCAGTAAGGACCAATTAAAATCAGGGGGGTTGGTCATGAATGTCATTGGCTAAAGTCATGTAATGCCATTCAGCACGTGACAGGGGTCCTCCAGCCAATAATCATGCTTTCACTTCACAGTGATCTGATTGGCTGTGTCTCTCTCCCGAAAATGATCCCACAAGCAGAAATAATCAGACTATTAATTCTTTTAAACTATGCCTATTTTTGTTAGGTATAGTTTAAAACTGGAAGAGCCTTGAAAGCATAACAGGTTAAATAACATTGTTTCAAAGTATTTTCTTCTGTTCAGAAACAGAAATGCCCTCTCTTTTATCTAAGATAAAATCTATTGCAACCTTAATCTTTCATGCCTAACTGGTCACAGTCACTGCCTTAAATGGAAGAAATGAGGGTCAGTAATCCCATTAGTACCATACACCTACATATGGGATGAAACATGGGCAAACGTTTTGTATAGCTATCTATTGATCTATAGATCAAAAGTTTTATTGTATAAAAATGGCAAAGAAAAAAGATCATTTGAATAAGTTTACACTGTGGTGCTTGTCTTCTGTGAAATATATTTATCCTCAGTGTCAAGCTTAGTCTCAACAAACCCATGCCACTGTATCATCCACCCTTTTAATGTGTATTTTATTATTATATTTCAGAACTTTAAAGAATGGCTATTTTATAGCTGACTGGAAATTCAGTTTGAGTATTTTCAATTAATAAAAGATAACCAAGTCCTGGATAAAATATAAAACAATAAAAACATCAGAAAATTATCAAGGTCACTATTTAAACATTTTTTAATAAGACTGCACTGATGGTTTAGAACAGAGGAGAATAACTCCAGTCCTAGAGCTGCGTTGCTACAACCTGTGGACCGGTCCCTGCTCCAACACACCTGGATCAAATCAGTGCAATTAGCAGGACTCTGGAGAACCTGACTGCATGCTGACATTATTCAGACAGTTTATTTTGGACAAAGTTAAATGTTCCAAGACACTGTCCATCAAGGACCGGAGTTGTTTAAGTCACTTTGTTTTGTTTTGCTTTGTTTTGTTTTGTCAGCGATATAGCTCAGGGAGAACAAAGTCTGTGTTCTCTCTGAGCTGCTATCGAGTTCTCAGCTTTCACAGATTATCTGTCTCATATTATGCTGTCACAAAATGGTCAGTTTGAACAAATATGTAAAAAAAAAAACATATTTGTAAAAGTTGCATACTGCAGCTTCAAGGGGAAAAAAAAGCTATCCAAACCTGGCTTTATGTGAAAAAGTAATTGCCCATAAGCCTAATAATTGATTTTTGTACCCCTCACAACAACATACCCAACATACATACATCGCCCTGGCCCCGATAGTGAAGTTATGGTAACACTTTATTTGAAGGGGTGTGCATAAGACTGACATAACACTGTCAAAAACATGACATAACATCTGTCATGAACATATAGCAGTCTTTATGAATGTTTATGACAGTTGTTATGAAGTGTCATTTGGTAAATAATGACACTTTTAATGCAAAGTTGCTCTAAAAGTTGCATTGAAAGTCCATTAAAAATGCCAGCTTTGCATTAAATTATCATAATTTACAAAATCATGCAAAGTTGGCACTTTTAATGGACTTTTAATTCAACTTTTACAGCAACTTTGCATTAAAAGTGTCATTATTTACCGAATGACACTTCATGACAACTGTCATAAGCATTCATAAAGACTCCTTTATGTTCATGACAGGTGTTATGTCATGTTTATGACAGTGTCATGTCAGTCTCATGCACACCCCTTCAAATAAAGTGTTACCGAAGTGATACACAAGACAGAGCCAGCAGGCATTATTGAAGAATTTAGATCGAACAATTGAAGAAGTTTGGAGACTTTCAACATTTAATTTCCATTTGGGATTGATATGGCATTTTTGAATTGAACTTAGTAACTGCCGTCAACAATTTGTGATGTTGTTCTCCTTCAGATGTTTATGCTAGAGACCAGAATTCAGGGTTCCATTAATAACATAAATATGTCCAGAACCTAAAACAGCAAAGTAGTTCCAGACCTTTGTTCTTAAATGTGATGTTATTTTACACTAGACACAGGAGGAAACACACTCTATGTGAATTTGGGTTTTTTAAGATGGACATTTTATTTACTTTTTGGTCTGCAGGGCTTTTGGCCTTGGACCAACAGATGCTACTGTTGCCCAATTGCTTTCTTATTGTTGAATTAACTCTGACCTTGCCTAAAGCCCATGAGGTCTGCAATGCTGAAGATGTTTGTCTGTGTTCTTTGGTGACCTCCTGGAAGAGTCTTTGTGTCTGCCTCTCCAGGAACGGCCAACCTAACCCTCCTATGAGGATTCACCAAGCTCTAACTGTGGCTCCCTGGAGTCGCAGGTTCTGCAGGTTCTGTAGGTTCTGTGTGATTTTGCTATTCTAAAGGTCTGGCTGAAATCAGGACTGTGAAATAGAATGAGTTATCCAAAAAAAATGTGCTTAATCCCAGTTAATTATTCATGATTAAGTAAAAGGGAAATTATTTTTTTCACACTGGACCATGTTGGTTTCTCTTAGACAGATCATATGCTAACACACACACCTGTGAGCTCCAAACCAGTAAAGTAACTAAAATAGTTTGAAATAGTCACATTTCCTTGGTAGCAAAGGTCTTTTTACCATAGATCAACATCGAAACTCAATTATTTCCTGACAAAAAAGTATCTGACAATATGTTAAAACACAATAACCACCATTTTTAGATAAAATGTTTTCTTCTTCACTCTTACATTTCCATCCGTCTGTCCGTCCATCTTTTTTCCAAGGTAAGGTTTCAGGGGCAACAGGTTCAAGAGGGAAACCCAAACATTTCAAGATGTTCTGGGTCCACAGTGATATCCGTTACCTGTATGGGTCTCCTCTTGAAGGGAAGTGCCTGGAAAACCTTTAATCGTAATGCAGAGGAGCAGCAGTTCTCTGCTGAACTCTTCCCAGATGGCAGATCTAATCTGTAAGGCTGAACCCGGCTACACTATAGAGTAAACTCTTCTCAGCCAAACAATGGGATTCTGTTCTTCCAGTCATGATCTGTGTACCATGACCATAAAAGAGCTAGTTTAAGAATTGTCGATGCTTCTGCTATACAACTAAGAGCTGCTAAAAAAAAGGTGAAAAACTTCAGAGACTGAGGCTGAAGATTGAAGAAGTGTAGTTACTTTGTTGACTCCATGGTAAGATGTTTGTCATTCCCATCATTTTCATCATCCTTTCTGGTCCAGTTTTCACCTGGCTAGATCTAGCTGCACTTCTTCCTTCCTTTAGGTGGAGGAACACAGCAGCTCCCAGTCAACCATCATCCACTTCATTCTGTTGGACAGGAAGTCCTCTGGTTTCATCAGTCACAATCACGCCCCCTGCTGTTATATCGGCTGGAGTCAGGCTCAGTTCCATTGGCCGCTGACTCGATTCTAACGCAGCTGATTGGCTAGTGTGGTGACAGTGATGGATGGGTGTGCTAGTGATTGGTTCATTTCACTGTGATGTCACCAGCTGTGGGCTGGCAGTGTGTGTTCATGCAGAATACTGAGTCAGAACAAGTAGGAGGGATAAAAAAAAGATAAAGAGACCTTGCACACACAGGAGAGAGAGGGAGCAGAAATGACTGGGTGGAGCCAACTCTCTCTTCCCCTCTCTCTCGTTCTCTCACTCTTGTTGTCACTCTTCCGCTCTCTCTCATGTATCTATCATGGGTTGTCCTTCAAAGTATACACTTAGCCATGATCCATACAGTTTTTTGTTTGCTTTTTATAAACTAAAACTGTGCAGAGGATCAGGTTCAGACATGTTTGTATCTTTTTCATAACATGAAACGTCTGATTCTGTTATATAGAGACCATTACTGACTGTATTCTCTCCTTCATTGATGTAAGCTCCTAACTCTCAATTTGCCTCCCTCGTTCTGGAAGAACTTTCTGCCAAACCAACCCAGGATAACATCAGACATAACAATGCAAACACAGTGTCAAGGCTGATTAAATGCTTTGGAAACTCTGTTTTGAATGATTGCCCTGCCTTCACTGCTGTAATATAAACTTCTTTCCAGCAGCAATATTGGCTTTTCATTAAACTCCTCTTTGCTCAGGCCAACAATCTGCCTGCAAAGTCTCACCTTTAATTTCATGTGGAAATGTAATTATATTATTCTTGTACAGCAGGCTCCAGCTGGAACCCTGGCTGTAAAAATTAATTAGCATCTTCAATGTGCCAAGTACCTGACAACACAAGAAGTCCAGTGACGGCACCAGAGTCGCTGCCAACAGCAGGAGACAGCTGCAGCCTCCAGAACCCTCCAGAACTCTCCAGAGCCTCCCAGAACCCCCCAGAACCTAACCATCCACACCTCACAAGTCCCCTCCACCCTTCCCAAACACCCCAGAACCCCCAGAATCCTCCAGTATCCCCCAAGAATGATATTAACTTTGCTGAATTTTCAGCAGGATTATTTCTTGACTGTAATCAGAAGCTTTCTTCAGAGCCTTCTAAAAAATGTAAGCATATTGTCTTGTCTTTTGATAGAAAGAGAACTGCTGTGTTTTCTTCTAATTAATACCTGATGTTCTGCTTTGTGGTGAGATTATTAAAAGTTCAGCTCAGCCTAAAAGATTTTACATTAAAAACTTCAAAACCGTTCAGGCACAGGGTGCTGCAGTGTAGAAGGGTTAGAGCGCTTAGTCCTCAGCGCGGGTTTGAGTCCGATGACATTTGCTGCATGTCTTCTCTCTCTCACACAACCCTCTTTCCTGTCTGACAACAGTCAAATAGAGAGAAGAAAAGAAACCTTT